GGGGACTGGGATTTTCCTTGTCCCTCAAGCACACCTGTATTGATCACTTGCAACACCCAGGAAATTGATCCACTTACTGGCAGAAGGATCCCCACAGTTGGAGGGAGACAGCTTGGCAGGCGTAAGGTGCACGGAAATGAAAAAGAAAAATGGTGATGTTGCTAAGGAGAAGGAACCCTTTCTTTGGAGAGAGAAAAGGGCGGGTAAGAGAGACGGGTTGAGAGAGCACAAGAGGAAAAACCTCTCTGGACCATGGACTAGGAAGTGAGAAGTACTGAGTGTCCCAGATTTTTTTTTGCAAACAGTCTTTGGAGCTCAAACTCTGAGGTTTTGAAGTGTATGACTTTCTCCGGAGCAGAGCTGTGGTGCATGCTTCTGGAGAGGAGGGAGCTGGCCTTGGAGTGCATAGGGCAGTGTAGGGATCTCCAGGATTCACTGGGAGAGAACGTCACCCTTTCTGGAGGGCTTTTGGAAGAGGGTTTATTGCCTTCCCAAGGACAAAAGGCCCTGCAGGTGCCAGCCAACTGCCTTTCATTAGCTGTACTCCAGAGGAAGGGAGAGGATCCACGTGGTCCTTTAAGACTTTGGGTTTTGAATCCCAGCTGCATGCCAAAGAAAAAGCATAGGAGAGTTGTGGAGCTGGATCAGGGTGAGCTGACTGCCCTCACTATTCTGTGGGGCTCCCTGAACAGCTGGGGGTATGAGATCCCCACACAGCAAAGGAAACAATCTTCTGCACAGCAAAGGAAACAGTCAACAAGACTAAAAGGCAACTGATGGAATGGGAGAATATATTTGCAAATGACATGTCAAATAAAGGTTAGTATCCAAAATCTATAAAGAATTTATCAAACACCCCAAAAAATAACCCAGTGAAGAAATGGGCAGGAGACATGAATAGACACTTTTCCAAAGAAGACATCCAGATGGCTAACAGACACATGAAACGATACTCAACGTCACTCATCATCAGGCAAATAACATCAAAACCACAATGAGATACGACCTCACACCTGTCAGAATGGCTAACATTAACAACTCAGGCAATAACAGATGTTGGCAAGGATGTGGAGAAAGAGGAACCCTTTTGCACTTCTCGTGGGAATGCAAACTGGTGAAGCCACTCTGGAAAACAGTATGGAGGTTCCTCAAAAAATTAAAAATAGAACTACCCTATGACCCAGCAATTGCACTTCTAGGTATTTACCCAAAGGATTAAAAAAATGCAGATTCGAAGGGGCACATGCACCCCAATGTTTATAGCCGCACTATCAACAATAGCCATAATATGGAAAGAGCCCAAATGTCCATAGACTCATGAATGGATAAAGAAGATGTGGTATGTATATATAATGGAATATTATTTGGCAGTCCAAAAGAATGAAATCTTGCCATTTGCAACAATGTGGATGGAACTGGAGTGTGTTATGCTAAGTAAAATAAGTCAGAGAAAGACAAATATATGATTTTATTCATATGTAGAATTTAAGAAACAAAACAGATAAACATAGGGAAGGGGAAGAAAAAATAAGATAAAAACAGAGAAGGAAGCAAACCTTAAGAGACTCTTAAATACATAGAACAAACTGAGGGTTGCTGGAGGGGTGTTGGGTGGGGAATGGGTTAAATGGGTGATGGCCATTAAGGAGGGCACTTGTTGGGATGGGCACTGGGTGTTATATGTAAGTGATGAATCACTAAATTCTACTCCTGAAGTCATTATTACACTAGATGTTAACTAACTTGAATTTAAATAAATTTCTTTAAAAAGAGGTAATATTAAGCCTTCTTTATGTTGTAAGATTTTGGCACATGTACATAAAGTCCATTCTGCTTCCAAAACTAAAAAAAAAAAGCCCTCAAATTGCTAGATTTTTTGCCATGCTGATGTCCTTTAACATGGCAACAGTCTGCTGCTGAGTCAGAGAAATTAAGATGGGTAAACACTGTCAATTAAATGAATAGTTGGGGCTGTGGGAAAACCAAGATGGCTGTTTAGTTCTTCCCAGCTCCCTGGCAAACACTGTTTTTCAATTTGTACATTCCTTCATGCACCATAGGGCATTTAAGATGACCCAAATTATGAATAGATGTTGGTAGGGAGACTTCTATAATATTGCAAAAACAATCTACCAGGAATTTCTGATTTGTCAGATCATCCTGGAGAAACTGATATTCTTCCCAGAGCCTCAGATCTCCCCACTCTGGACCATTTTAACACCTGCAGCTGGACTTCATTCAGCTGCCACTTACTATGGGTTACCAATATGTTCTTGTTATTGTTTGTATGTTTTGTGGATGGGTTGAAGCCTTTCCCTGCTGCAAAGCTGTGATGCCCTCACAGTAGCAAAGAAACTGTTAGAAAACACGTTTTCCCATTTGGGGCATAGCTTCCACAATCTCCAGCAGTCGAGACACCCACTTCACAGGGCAAATCTTATGAGCCTTAATGAAAACCTTGCAAAACTTCTTGGAATTCTATCAGTATACAAGCTTCTGCTGATCCTTTGTTGTCTCAGGCTATTAAGACCAGCTACTGTAAACCTCTAATATCTTATACTCAAGGATATCATCAACAGGAGGTTAAAGAAACTTCCTCAGATCCCATTTCAAAGGATCCTGTCGGTCACAATGTAGAGCCTGGGGATTTAGATATTCTGGAAACATTATCAGAGGAAGGTAGCTGTTAAGCCCCATTTGAAGAGGAATCTTACCAAGTGCTCCTGATCACTGACACTGCTGCAAAACCAGAAGGGATGGAGCCTTGAGTACATATTTCTCACCTTGTGAAGGCTCCAACTGCAGCCAGGCCCTGTACAGACCCTAGATACCTCCAGATCAAATTGATGAGGAAGAGAAGTCACGTCGAGGCATACCACTTCTGCCCAGGACTATGGATCAAGACTTTAAACTTTATTATTATTATTTTTTTTAATGTTTTATTTATTTCTAGGAGAGAGAGAGGGAGAGCGTGAGCAGGGGAGGGTCAGAGAGAGAGGGAGTCACAGACTGAAACAGGCTCCAGGCTCTGAGCTGGCTGTCAGCACAGAGCCCGACGCGGGGCCCGAACCCACAAACCGCGAGATCATGACCTAAGCGAAAGTCAGACGCTTAACCGACTAAGCCACCCAACCGCCCCAAGACTTTAAACTGTAAACATGAAACCCTTTCTCCTTCTTTCTTTTATTCTAACTTTGGCCAGGAAAGATAATACTCTCATCTGTTTCTCTCCAGGCCATTGTTAAGGGGGGAATCCTTTGGAATTTAGAACAACCTTTTATTTCAGGCTATGAGAAAGTCTAACTGACCGCCTTACTTTTCAAAAGCAAAATAAGACATCTATTTGGCAACTCTCCAGAAGTTACGTTGTTGACTTAGAAAGGATCTTCTTGGAGGCTTTAATGATTCAGGATTCATTCCTCTTGGCAGGTCCCTACATTCTTTAATAAGTGTAAATAAGCCTGTGATCAGGAACTTCTCAATTCTTGAAATTATTGCAGAATCTGCTGCTAAAACAACTGCTGTCCATCAAAGATCCTTAGACTCTTTGGCCAAAGTTGTTCTTGATAGTAGGATAGCCCTTGAATATCTTTTAGCTAAGCAAAGAGGTACCTCTGCTGTGGCCCATACCACCTACTATATCTGGATTAACCCTTCTGGGGAAATTGAAACTTAATTTCATAAGATCACTGAGCAAGCTGCTTGGCTTAAAAGAATAACTTCTTCAGCAGGGTCTTTCTTTTATTTTAACTAATTTGAGTCTTGGGGATTATGCCTCTGAAGTACTCTCCAAACATTGGGAATTATCCTGCTTATAGTTATCATAATAATCCCCCTGGTACATTGTAGTCTCTCAAAAGCTTTAAATGCATGAAAACCTAACCACAAAGCAAATGATCTCTCTGAGACTAGACCGTCAGAAAAGGAATGAAGGGGACAACTTACTTACAAATTGTGAACCTAAAGTTGTAACCTGTGAATATCACAGAAACCAGCAAAAAATGATCATGATCTGTGAATACCACACAATGAATAACAGCTGATCAGCTCTGGAGCGATGGCAGACAATGGTGCTAACGCTTTAAAGTTTGATCACATCTCTCAGTTAAGCTGAAAGCCTGATCAAAAGGGAGGAAATTGTTAAAAAGAAAACCACAGGCCTCAAATGGCAGCCCCAAGCCAGTTAACCATGACTTAATAGCTAACCTATCTATAGTTTCAACCCCCCAGAAATTTAACCCTTAACCACTCAACATGGGAATTTCCTGGTCAGCACTAGTAAGTTTAATGATAGACTTCTCTGTTCCCCATAGGAAGGTGACCTTGCCTAAAACAATGGATTCTTTGCCAATAGTTTCCTTTTTTTTCCCTCCATTCTTCTCTACTTCTAAAAATTTCCTTTTCTTTAGCCCTTTGGAGCTCGCCACTTCTAGATAGTGTGCTGCCCAATTCATGCATCAATTAATAAAGCCAATTAGATCTTTAAAATCTACCCCTTGAATTTTTGTTATTTAACAATGTATATGTACATTTAATTATTTTAACAGCATGTTCTGTTTTGTCTTATAACAAAAATGTATGTTTGGGAATGTGTAGTTTTGACCTACATCTATTTATATTAAGCATATACCTATCACTCTTGTTAAAAGAGAAATTTGTGAGGTCAGTTATTTGACTAACGAATGAAACTGCTTTTAAGTTGAAAAATCTTGGTTGTTTTTTCTACACAATTTTTATTCTGACCTTTATTTCAAAGATTATCCCTGGGATACTTGAAAATCATAAGGTAGATTGCCCACTAAAAATTCCTGAGGCACATTCCCTAGAGAGACTTCTATCTTATTGTTCCTCTTTATTCTTTCCAGGGTTTTTTTTTTTTAAAGAAAGGAAAAAAGAGAACAAAATGTTGAGCCATGAGAATACAGTATAGGAGACGGTGGGATACAGTGAAATGTGCCACTGCTAAGGCCCAGCCATCTTACGTTGAACATTTTTGACAGGTCGCCGATCAACAATCAGCCATGTTTGGAGAGTGCTGCTTCCAGGCAGGAGATGTGAAACTAACCATGGGAACTGGGACATTTTTGGATATTAATACTGGAAATAACCTGCAACATAGTGTTGGAGGTAGTTAGAATTTATCCTTTTTATCAAAAATATCACTTATTTTCATATTTAATTTTTGTGATACTGTTCCCCATTTTACATTAAGGACACTGTAACATATTTTTTGTTATTATTCTTAGAGATAGTCAGTATCCATTTCCCTTCTTTCTGTAAAAGCATAAAAAATGAGAATGATGTTATTATAGAAAAACTCAGGATTAGGGTATTTTGGTCAGTTTTCCAAATATTTACCTATAATACCTGTTATATTTGTTTAGGCTATCTTTCTAGGCCTCTAAATTTTCTTTTATGTGTTAGCAGTTCTTTCTGTGAAGAAAAAAATTTTTGGTGGTAATTCTCATCTAGTGATCCATGCATATATAATGGCAATTGCCAAGCAATTGGTCTCCCTGGTGGAAGACATCCTATGATGTATAAACCAAGAAATTTAGATTGTGGAACAACACCTTAAGAGGCCTGTGGGCTATTAATCTGGGTCATGGTCTCCTACCATGGTTACTGAGAGATAGATTTTAAAATACTTTTTTTTTACCTTCCATCCCCTCTCAAGCTCTTTTTTTTTCCCCTAACTAGGAAAACAAAAGCTAGAAAATTTGATCATTGCAGGTTGTTTCTACTTAGGAACCTCTTAAGTAGATTCTACTTCTCTGTTTCTAGAGACAGACCCCATGGCTAATAAAAGCTAATGTTTATTTTTCATATTACATATCAGGCATTGCACTCAGTTCTTTTTATGCATTAACTCAGTTTATTCTCACAGGAGCTATCTGAGGCACACCATTTTACAATTGAGGAAACTGAGGCTAAGAGGTTAGAAATTTGTGAGACCACTTACTTCAGATCCACTTTGCTACTTTTTAAGAAAATCAAATTGTTCTACTGTAGTCATCTCTGTAATAAATTACCTATTTATTATATCTGACTTATACTGTTTCTTTGCTTCTAAGGCTTTTATCCACTAATTGGGTGGAAGATTGGGCAAGAAGTTGTATGCTTAGCTGAAAGCAATGCAGGAGACACTGGTACAGTCATAAAATGGGCTCAAGAATTAGGTAAGTCATCTTATAAACAGATTTTACAGGCCACACTTAAAGAATTCAAGAATACCATAGTACTACAGACCAGTGGGAATGAATGGATTGTTCAAATGAGACATAAAAGGAACTAGAAAATGTAGGGAATTATTTTATTATACTGAGATAGTAAAAGGCTAGGCACTAAGACCAGATACCATAAAGAATAAGAATAATAAACTTAAGTATATTAATTATTAGAATGTATAAGGAGAAGGATGCCATAAACAAAGTTAAAAGGCAACTTGGTAAGAACAATTCATAGTGTACATCAGAAAAATTAATAAAGATGACTAAAAAATGGGGGCACCTGGCTGGCTCAGTCAGTTAAGTGTCTGACTCCTGATTAGGGCTCAGGTCATGACCTCATGGTCATGAGATCAAGCCCTGCATTAGGCAGTGTAGACTCTGCTTGGGATTCTCTTTTTCTTTGCTCTCTGCCCCTCCCTTTCTGAGGGGCACGCTCTCTCTTTTTCTCTCTTTCTCAAAATAAATAAATAAGCTTGAAAGAAATGACAAAAATGGACAAAGGACAGAAGTACAGGTATCATAAATCAAATGACTATTAAAAAATGCTATTCAGAGTCACCTGGCTGCTCAGTCAGAAGAGCATGTGACTTTTGATCTGAGAGTCTTGAGTTCAAGCCCCACGTTGGGTGTAGAGATTACCAAAAAACAAAACAAAACAACTAAAAAATGCTATTCACATTTAATAATCAACGAAATACACATCTGAAAACTGATGTCACCTGTCATCGGCAGAGATTAAGTCGTTTGATGATGCTCAGCATCTGTGGGAATATAGAGAAAAAACTATGCTTGTTTTCCAATGTAATGAATTTTTTAATGTATTTTTTCATCTTTTTAATGTTTATATTTGAGAAAGAGACAGAGTGCAAGCTTGGGAGGGGCAGAAAGAGAGAGGGAGACACAGAATCTTAGGCAGGCTCCAGTCAACTCAGAGCCTGATGTGGGGCTTGAACCCATGAACTGGGAGATCATCACCTGAGCCAGTTGGAGGCCCAACCGACTGAGCCACCCAGGCACCCCTCCTTTGTGATGAATGTTAACTAATATGGTCTTTCTTTCTTTTTTTTTAATTTTATTTTTTTTTAATTTTTTAATGTTTTATTTATTTCGAGGAGAGAGAGAGAGACAGCGTGAGCAGGGGAGGGTCAGAGAGAGAGGGAGACACAGAATCTGAAGCACGCTCCAGGCTCTGAGCTGGCAGTCAGCACAGAGCCCGAACGCGGGGCTCGAACCCACGAACCGCGAGATCATGACCTAAGCGAAAGTCGGACGCTTAACCGACTAAGCCACCCAGGCGCCCCCTAATATGGTCTTTCTGTAGGATAAGCAGGCAGTATGTGTCAGTTTATAGAGTGCAGATCCTTTTGCCTCATTCTATTCTTTGTTTCCTAAGGAAACAATGGGAGAAGTATGCAAAGATATTTACATGCAAAGGTGTTTAGTGCGGCAGTTGGAAATAAGTTCCTGTCTAATAATAAAGCATTACAGTCTCTCCATACAATGTGATGATGTAGTTGTATATCTTATTGATGTAGAACGCTTATATGGCACATTAAGGAGGGGATGATGCAGTTGTAGAACAGTCAGTATAAATATTTTTTTGCTTTTATTTTACAGTTTTATTGAGATATAATTCACAAAGCAAACAATTCACCCATTTCAAGTATAAAATTCAGTGTTCTTTAGTATGGTCTCAGGTCTGTGCAACCATCACCACAATCTAATTTTAGAACATTTTTATTCCCCCTAGAAGAAACCCCCATATGCATTGGCATTGACTTCCTGTTCTATCAACCTCCCCTAAGCTACCATGGATCTACTTTCTGTCTCTATGGATTTGCCTATTCTGGACATTTCATATGGATGGAATCTAACCATATGTGGTGTCTTGTAACTGCCGTCTTTTACCCTTCGTACCAGGTTCACCCATGTCATGGCATATATCAGTACTTCTTTTTATTGCTGAATATTCCATTATATGGAAGTACCAGAATTTATTTATTCATTCATCAAATGATGGACATTTTGATTGTTTCCACTTTTTAGCTGTTGTGATTATGAACAGCCTGTGTATTACATAGCCTTATTCTCTGCTGTTGTGCTCCAGTAACACAGGTCATTTTTCCCCTAGCAGTATCACTTTTAATTGCTACATGTGACATCTGCTTGCTCTAGGTGATCCCCATAAGACTTCCCCATGTACTTTTAAAATTACCGAGGACTCTTGTTTACTAGAAATAAGGAAACTGATTCCCCTCTGGGTATCTTCCCAAGAGAGATAATATATCCTTCATTAGAGAGGATGAGATAAGCATTTTCTCACATGTGAACTAATTCTAGGGAGTGAACAGCTACATGTTACTGCTGGTGAATAGGATCTTAGTTTGTGGTCCTGCCTCTCCTCATCCTGGGGAAGAGAAGTGTGGCTTAACCACTGAAGCTGAAGTGGAACCCAGCAAGAACGAAGCCTTAGGTTCTCAAGTAGACAGTGCAGATCCAGGGCTTGTAGATGGCACTACCTGAGTATTGTTGGTGAAAATACTAGAGGCTGCTAAGGACACTCTAGATGTTCTCTATGGATCCAGCCTGCTAACCCAGGAGAAAGTCCCCCTTACGTGGAGAAGAAAGGTGGCCTGGCAAAATCCCTGGAAGAGTCTGCCAAGTGGACATCAGTACTGTTTGGTCTGAACTGCTCCTCTTCCAGCCTGAGTGGGGAGGCCTAATCTTTCTCATATCTCCAGAAACCAGAGCACCAAAGTTTACCCCTCTGCCCCTCATTGCCTGACAACCCCATAACCCTGACCTGACAGAGGGGACAGTGTAGGAGCAAATAGTGCCCTGAATGGGAGTGACCACGCTCAACAGGTAGCTCCTATGCGGGCAGATAGAATGGAAGAAACAGAAGATTAAATTAATACCAACAAAAGTCAAACCTAAAGGGAAGACAGAAAATATTACAAAAAATGTCTGGAAAATGTAAAGAGTTTTGAAGAACAAAACCATGATATGTAAAATGTAAAAAGAAGTAGTAATAAAACATAAAATAGACAGTGCTGAAAATCCAAATAAGAATCAGGGAGAATTTGAAAACAAAAAAGAGGAAAAAAATAGAAGATAAAACTGAGAGGTAAGAGATACAGAGGAAAGATAAGAGACAATAATATGTGAATAGTAGTCTTTCGTGGCATATGAAAATGTAATTATGGAAATGGAGTTACAAAAATATAAAAATTGAAGTGACAAATTGAAAATAAATTTCCCTGAGCAGAAGAAAGACCTTACTTTTCAGACTGAAATAGCTTCCTAAGTTAAAAGAAAAGTTGTAAATTAATACAGTCCTACATGTAGCAATTATCTGGTTTCCAGGAATAAAAAAAAAAAGCTTCATGATAGGAAGAGCTGTTTATTTATAAAGAAAAAAAAAAACTAGATGAGCATGAAAGTAGTTGTAAAGTTTAGAAAGTGGAACATGTACATATTAGGAAAAAGAGCAATGAGCCAATAATCTGGTGCCTGGCTAAGATAGCATTCATATTAAGTGCAAAAGGGTATTTTCTGGCCATGCAGCATATACTTTCTGAGGAAATTACTGAAGGAGATATTTCAGCCAAAAGAAAATAGAGCAAAGGTCTCAACATGGGCAAAGCAAAGTACATAAATAAGGTGTATTTCAAAAAAGATTTTTTTCCTAGTAGCAGGCCAGACTTTGTTCTATATTATTTGAATTGGTCTTACACCAAACTGATAAAAGATGTCTTACTGTAATGTAGTGTCTTTATTTTTGGACATTCAGAACATCAGGGGCGCCTGGGTGGCTTAGTCGGTTAAGCGTCCGACTTTCGCTTAGGTCATGATCTCGCGGTTCGTGGGTTCGAGCCCCGCGTCGGGCTCTGTGCTGACTGCCAGCTCAGAGCCTGGAGCCTGTTTCAGTCTGTGACTCCCTCTGTCTCTGATCCTCCCCTGCTCACGCTGTGTCTCTCTCTCTCCTAGAAATAAATAAAACATTAAAAAAAAAAAAACATGAAGTACAAAAATCTCCTTAAGAGATTGAAACTATCTTAACACTAAAAAGAGCCTCTAATTAAACTAGGTTTAAATATTTTATGCATAATATATAGTTGTTCTATAAAAAAAGTAATGTTTCTGTTAAAAAGTTTCAAAATGTATTCTGTTTTTTGTTTTTTTAATTTTTGTCTTCTTCCCATAAGTGAGTTTAATTCTGTGGTGTATAACCTCTGGGGTAAAGTCCGGGTCAGGAATAGACTACAAGTGTACATTTTTTCTGTTCTTCATTTTTTCTTTCTGTTCATTTATATTTTCATTTCAAGTTCAAGAAGTCTCTTTCTAAACACACGCACACACTCGTGCGCGCACGCGCGCGCACACACACACACACACACACACACACAAATCCTTTTCTCAGTTCCATACTTTGAAAAGCAATAGAGTGAAACATCTCAGCCTATTATGTAATATGGTTAGAAATGAATAGCGGACACAATATATAAATTGTATTTAGCCACTTGGATATTTGAAATGTCTTTTCTTGAGTAGCATAGGAATAAGGGAAACATTTGAAACATAATTTGATAGTGTCCCAAAAATACAGAAATTACAGAAATTAACTATAATTCTGTAAGAGCAGTACTTAGAGGAAAATGATGAATACTTACTAATAAGGAAAAGGAGAGAAACATAGTAAACTTCCCAGCCAAATATATAAGGATATATAAATTATAAAACTGAGAAATGATAAAAAGTAAAATTGATAAACTAAATCTCTTTTTAAAATATCCAAGAATTGAAGTATCTTATCTGTGTTTCACTGGGACTGTATACAGTGTGATACATCATGAGAAAGAGGTAAAAATGAGAACTGTGTTAATTATTTATTTTGAAATAATTTCAAATTTAAAGTTGTAAAAATAGCAGAAAAACTTTTGTATACC